GGAGTATTACAGGCTCAGCAAGCTCAGCAAGCTCAGGTGGTGGTTACAGAGGCTCAAATAGGTATCCAGCAAGGTGACCAAGCAGTGACCTCACAGGCACAAACAAGAGCACCACCAACATGCAGCAAATGTCACGTACAAGGACACAGCAGGACTCAATGTAGACAGATCTAATCTATCCACCTTCAAAACCTCATCAAACTTGAACATGTGGTTGTTGAGCAATCGTACGCTGAGCTGCATGCGTTTTGGTGGGGTGCGCAGGATGGTGGTGTGCGCAGCTTGCTGGTAAAACACGTTAACGTGTTCCATCAGTCATCCGCCAACACCACTTATCCGCCAGCGCCAAAAACCACCAAAAATCACGAAAATTGCAAGTCAAGATCTCAACAACAGCTAAGCAGAAATGTCTAGATCTTTGATTCTGCCTCTGTATACCTCTTGCAAGACTTATACTAGAGTCCTAGACTTTATACCCAAGCAATTATCAAGATATCTAATTTTGGGGGCCAGAATTAGGTCAAAATCTAAGATCTTAAGATTTACGGGTTCAGTTTCTTTTATACTTATACAGTGTACTCTAGGGAGGCAAAAAAGACTAAATTGAAAGTCTTATGTTTTTTTTTTAAGGCATTGTCAAGATCTTGACCTGCAATTTTCGTCATTTTTGGTGGTTTTTGGCGCTGGCGGATGACTGGTGTTGACGGAATAGTGGTGGAACACGTTAACGTGTTCCACCACTATTCCGTCAGCCCCACCAAAACGTGTGCAGCTCAGCGTACGATTACTCAACAACCACATAATCAAATTGTCTAAAACTTTGACAGAGGATAGACTATATCCGTCTACATTGAGTCCTGTTATGACCTTGTACATGGCATTTGCTGCACGTTGGTGGTGCTCATGTTCGTGCTTGCAGGGTCTGAGTTTGGTCACCCTCTCGGACACCCATTTGAGCCTCTATAATGAGCGCACGACCTTCCTGAGCCTGCAGCACTCCTCCACGGGCTATATACTGTCGTCGCTGTTGACGTTTACGTCGCTGGCGGTGATTAGCAGCTCGTAGCTTTGAGTTCTCCTCAGCTAAGATTGTCGCTGAGTTCATAGCAAGCTGACAACCTTTGACGTTGCAGCGACTCCCATCATAAAGCCAGTCTCGCCAAAGTTGTACACATCCTCATCAAGTATCCCGTACACCTGGCACGTCTCCTCTATGCGCTTAAACCACGCGTTAATCTTGACAGGATCCTCACATCTTGCGCGTTGTGAGTGGAATTTCCTATTCCACTTTGTCTGGAGCTCTGACTGGCTACTAACGAAGCGTGACACCCAGTTCTTGCCAATAGGTCATGGAGGAGGGTTTTGGCTGCGGGCAGCAAGCAGAACGTCTGCCATTCGTCGTACGTTGATAATGTGAGGCGGTAATCCTCGTCGATCAAGGTCTAGGATACATTAAACAAGTGACTGCTCCTCTATAGGCTGTAGCTTGCGTTGGTGGATGTGGGCAACAGCTTTAGGTTGTACGCCTGAGAGACGGTCTCGGAGAGTCGTGCGGGGAACAGAGTACAGCTGCCAACTCTAAGCTGGTTTTTTAAGCGTCTATTTTGATAAGCCTGAGAAGCAAGAAGAAGTCTGCTTTCTTTCGAGGCGAATGAGGATGTTGTCGTGGAGTCATAGTAGTTAACGCGTACAGCAACGCGCTGGTTTTGGTGGGGCTGACGGGATGGTGGTGGAACACGTTAGTGCTAATCGACAGTCTGCCGCTGAATATTATGGCTCTAGGCTTCCGACTTCGCGTTAACGTTCCCTGGTTTGTTCAGATCTGAGACATACACTCGTTGCAAAGTATAGCCACACTACCAAGTCACACATGATTCCAGTGGTTAGATATTTACTATTTTTCTCCATCAAGATATCATTGGGTGAGGTGGCCGAGCGGTTAAGGCGTTGCGTTTAGGCTGTTCTAAACACTCTCCGCAATCAGAAATGGCGTGGGTTCGAATCCCACCCTCATCAATATTCTTTTGTCCTTTTTGCTCGCAGTGCTCCAGCCTGACTGAATCCACTAATGCAAAATCTGCTTCGTGACCTGAGTTCTGGAAATCCTGCTACCCTGCGACCTTGATTTCACTGCCGTAGACTGCGTTCTCGTACTTTTTTTTTTGGCATTCCCGTGCCATCACAACATCTAGCGTGAACGACACGACCCTGCTCAATATCAATTTACCGGCTTATGATGATTAAGAGATCATGTCGACTCAACAAGAAGACTTGCTCCTTTGCGTAAGTACGAAGCTTTCCCCTTCTTGCGTTCTCACTCTCTAAAACACCATAGCTGGAGTCATCTATGCGCAATGCACTTTCCACATTCGGCCCAAGTAGCGCTCAATACCTCGGCATCAAAGCCATGGTCGATGATCTCGCGATCAAGATCGCGCTCGATAAGCTCTCTCTTTCGGCACACCGTAGGAAGCACCAGCAGGATGAAACCATGCATAGTACTTGAGCTTCGATCTGAGCAATAGGAAACTGTACGGAACAAGAGAATCGGCACCGTCGACGACGTGGCCGCATCAAAATTTGTCCAGACCATATCAGTACATCTGTCAATGACACATGGCTGTCTGTCTTCGGTAACCTTTGTGTTCGATGCTTGAGCACTACATACATGTTCGAAAGTACCCAGGCGTCAGTGTTGAGGACTTCATACGCTGGCAGAGCATTCACAGAGCCAAAGAGGATTTTTATCCTCTGAAGACACTCTGCTTCAAGAAGCCCTATTCCTTCAAAAGCCATGACCTCCTCAATCGCGTTGCTGCCGGAGTGACTAACGTATAGAAGGTGGTGTATCTTATTTTTGACTGTGGTAGATGCTTAGAAAACCCAAACGCAGCGCCGTAGAACTCACCCGACGCTTGACAGTGTGGTTTTGACAACTTATTTGCAATATATACTGCTACATTCAGATTAAGGACGTCGTAGCGAGCATAGAGATGCATTTGCGACAATGAGAAGGAGCCCCGCTTTCTGACATGTGAAATTTTACCCCACATGTAACCGAGACTCTCCAATCCACATGACACGAGAAAACGGCCTTGCGATGTAACGGATAAGCTCGGAAGCGCGCTAGAAGAAGACACTTTGCGATATAAGCACATAGTTGATCCAGAAGACTGGGACCGACGAGCATGCATAAATGCCCGACACATACCAGGTGTTGTCAACACACCTGCAGCCTGGTGATCGCTGATGCGTTGAAGGATTCTAACTGACGGGTTTTGGGTGCATGAGAGCCTCCACGCCATACAATGGCCAGTGTACCACCATGCAGGAACACGTTAGATAGAAGCAGCCCTATACCAGTACAACACCATATGAGCCATCGTCAGTCATGCCGACCAGTCATCCTAGACAGCGGCAAGTCACGGACCAAATGAAGAGTCACATTGCAATGGAGTCATGTTTGCGCAATCAGGTATATATAAGGAGACTATCTCGGCAACTTCAGCACGGAAGCGGCCCACTACTACTTCGAACACCACAAGAAACATCTGATTGCACTGTAGGAAATAACAGAATATTAGCAACCGCACCAGGAGGAGTCAATCAACCAGGAGGGAGACTTCACACCGGCGGGAAGACAATAAGTCAAAGAAGCGCGACACCGCTACCTTGCATCCAGTGAAGGAGAGGTGAGCAGCAAAAGAAATCAGCAGTAACATAAAGAAAAACACTTTTGCCGAAAGGCAAGGCTGGTCTCATCACCAGCTCCCTACGACCACCGGGAACCATAATCGAAATACGAGGACATTCAGGATCCGTTGTAACCCTGAGCAATAGCAATGCTCTTCCACTTCTCAAGCTCCGCCTCGAGGTCAGCGTTACGCTTCTCGAGTTCGGAGACATGATCAAACTTCCTCTGCCGGGACTCACGAGCTGCAAGAGTGTTGCGCGCTCGCTTCAGAGCAATCTTGTCGCTGGGATCGACAGTGATAGCAGGGAGAGGACCCTTGCGACGACGAGACTTGCTGATGCCATTGGTTGCAGGTGAGTTGGTAGCAGACGACTTGCGGCGGAATGAGCTGTCGAGAACAAGAGGAGATCCGGTGCTAGACGACTCCGATCGATCCATTGACTGGCTGCTGACGGTGCGCTCCATGGAAAGATTGAGGGCTGCAGCCGAGAAGTCGGGCTCGGCAGCCTTGTTCTCCTCCTCTGGGAACAGGGAGAACCAATCGTTGTTGCCCATAGTGGGCTCATTCTGGAACATGGGCGAGCAGTTGTAGCTGTCGTTGTGGATGAAAGGTGAGTCGTTCATATCGGGGGAAGTCAAGTTTGTGAACGCCGTAGATGGGGGAGCAGACCCGAAAGCATCAGCGAAAATGTCCTTGGGGGACACGGTGCGGGTGGACCCGGCTGCAGCCGAGTGGTCGTTGATGGCCGTGAAGGCCGACACCTGGTCCAAGTTGAACACGCCCGCCTGAAAGGAGGGCATCAGGCTTGCGCCTGAGTCGAAGGAGTTGTTGCTGTTTAGGTCTGCAAACCAGGTGAGCCTACGATCACAGTTGCGAGATGGGCGAGCCGTACCTGCCATGTTTGCGACGTTTGGTTGTTGCTGAGAAATGTTGTTGCTATTGCTGGAGAACAGTGGTACCGGAGGGTATTGGCGTTGTAACTGGGGCTGCTGGAATTCTGTGGTTGATGATGGAGCAGAATTTGCGTAGAAGTGCTGGCTGTTGTTAAACGTATGCCCAGGCTGAGGAGCGCTCGGTGCTCGCTGAGGCCGTTGGGAGACCTGAGCTGGTTGGTCGTAGAGCACGAAGTCCTGTTGCGGAAGTGCGAATGTTTGACTCGTAGATAGTGGGTGCCGATGGGCTTGGGGAGCTGGTGAAGAAAGCCATGGTTGCTGGGGAGAAGCCGTGGTGACGACTGGAAGTCGACTGGGGGGAGACGGCGAACTAGAGCTGCGCGAGGCGGTGCTGAAGTTCAGAGGTTCCAAAAAGGAAGACTCTGAGTTGTTGGTAGAAATGGGGCGAGACGGTGTTATTGTTGGATCCAAGATGTCGGCGGTGAGGCGACTGTGAGAAGCGCAGGAAAGCTAAAAGGCAGCCATGATCGTGACTGTCATGTGTTGTTTCTTGTGTTGGAGGCGAGATGGATGGAAGGAAATCAGGCAACGAGATGGGAATGTGGGGGATTTAAAGCCGCGCACGAAGCGAGCCGCCAAGAGAAAAGAGTGACTCACAGAGTGTGCAGGAGCGACGGGCCAATGAGAGAGGCGCCGGCGCCCCAAGCATCAGCGCTAGCATCAGCCCTCGCACAGATATCCCTCTTCTGTCCCTCATCTGCGCAGTATGGCTCCTGCGATTCTTCCACCATCAAGGCAAACACTGTGTTTCGAGTCTTTGCTATTCAGCGCAATGGATTTGACCATTACTTACCAAAGCGCGCACTTTCGCGACTGCGCTGCTCTGTCAAAATCGCACTCGGCGCACTCAGGCATCAGCTAGAGTGCGACGCCGATAGGGCGCGGTTGAAACACCGTGGCCCGAGCGCTTGTGCATATTGGACTGGTGGACTTGATTACGAAGCTTGTCCCAGGTCGGTAGCGCGGCCTCTCTTTCCGCAGGAAAAGAGGGCGGTGCTCTTGCTCCGCCCTTCTCATCAATACATGTGCATTTGCGCGGGCGCGCAACACGACGGACGAGGCAGACGATGTGCACTTTTTCGTCACAGATTTGTGGAGGAGCGGTGTGCACGCGCCGTGAAACATGCGCTGCCGTTTCCGAAAGCCCAGCACTGCATCACAGGGTGACTCTGCACTTTATCGATCTGGCACAGCCCCAACGCCAGCATGCAACACACGACCTGCACCGCTGCGGAGCGCTGCCGATCCGGGGTGGAACATCGACACTACTTCTACTTGGCAGACCTTGCTGTGAAGGACAGCTAGGCATTCTTCAACGAGTCTAAGGACCTAGACGCTCTCGAAGCTGAGTGAATCCAGTCCCATCAAGGCTATCGTACAGCCAACCTTCTCGCAAATACCCGCACTCTCGAAATGTGGTCACTTGGCTTCTGAAGTGAGAATGTGGCTGCGCATGAGTATGCACGGCCGCGGACAGCTTCAGGTTGTATTCTTCCTCTGTACGGATGTTACTCTTTCCTGGCGGATAAAACCTGGTCTGCTGCACGTTACATTACAGATCTCTAGGTCCAGAAGCTCTCAATGCCGTTGAGTGGTAGGTGCAAGAGTAGGGTAACGGGCATCTTCGCCAACACGAAGTGCTCTTGCTGGATGGTGATGTGTCTTTTTTAGCCAGAGCCAGCTCCAGTTCGGGATCCTGAGATGCTTCTTTCGGGCTGGACTTTGTATGTACTTCTCGTCTTAACAATGGAAGTCGGAGCTCATGCGTGAATCTGATGCCTACACACGAACAGGCATAGACCGAGCTCAAGGTGGCCTTCCAAGAGCGGTATGATATGGAAGAGAAATAGAAAACAGGACCACCTCTGCAGACGTGTCGATTTGCTTCAGAAATAGATATCGCAATGCACATGTCTCATTCGAATTAAGCTCTAGCTTCAATGAATGTCTGATGTCACGTGAATCAGGCCAGCAGTCTGGGTAAGCTTTGAATCGTGCCTTGGCGTTCATCATATGAAGTAGGAGCAACGCCGCTCACACTACTGAAGCTGGAACATAGCCTGACACATAACACCACCTTGCCTCCATTTTCCATACAAGTACTGCTGCGACAGCACAAGATGGTGCAGATACAGCCGAACGAAAAGCTCCATGCGGCCTGCGACGAGTGCCGTCAGTACCATAATAAGCATGTCTACCTGCCAAAACAGAAGCTGAGATTAGCCAGGAACTCGGAAACTGAAGTGCTCCGGAGAGAAGCAAAGATGTACACGCTGCAAGAGGGAAAAGATTGAATGCGTTTTCTCGCCTCAGAAGCAAATGGGCCGACCAAGAAAGAGGAGGAGAGCCGGTGAAGCTGATGAGGATG